TGATTTCCGTTACTTTGTATTTCAACAAGTTGTTTGAATTATTGTGTTGATAATATTATTTATTTAATAGATAATATCAAACCGCAGTCACAAACACGCTTATGTAAATTCAATTTCGTATGTAAAAACGAGGACTATCCTTTTCCATCATATTGATAGCACATTATGTATGCAAATCCTCAACAGGTCAAAAAAACCATAGGCGTCACCCTATACTTGTTTTGAAATAAATAAAAAAATATATATTTAAAGATGCCGTCAACAATTCATTATCTTTTAAAAAATCTTCTGTAAAATAAGTGTCCACTAATCTCACTATACCTTTTTTGTGCGTAAAAAACGTCGGTATATATGCCGCACGATTATTGTTAATTATACACGGGTGATTAACGACAGAATTCAATGTTTCACGAAATAAATTAATGTAAACAGTAATTTAAAGGTGATTATTGTTTTCTATACAAGTTATCGCCTGACACAAAAAGAATACCTTCTTTGAACGATTACTTGGAATTACTGATAAGGCTTCACTAATGATAGTTTAAGTACTTTTTATGCCACATTACAGCTTATGCCAATAATATAAATTAGAAATTGTTTGCATCTTCCATTTAGTTTGTAGATGTACATTGTTCATGTCTTCCTAACTACGTTTTTGATGTCGATATTTTGTTATTTGCATTTAAAAATGACGTCGACAACAGGTTTTATCCCGGTTAAGTGTAGTTTTAAAGGTGCCTTCAGTCTAAGAGAGAAAAATATAATATTAAATGTACACGATGCACTTGTACATCAACGCCCGTTAAGTAATGTTCGTGAAACCGTTAACATGTGTTCAAACATGACAGGGGTTGGAGAAGCAACAATTTATAGATTCCTAAAAGAAAGAAAAGGAGGAACTGTTTCATCTCCCAAGACGAGTGAAGGGAGTAAAGCCTTGGAAATTGAAGAAATACATAAAAACATGATAAAACGCAGCTTTCACTCATTTTTTTTTTTAACAAAGAATTTCCAACATTGGAAAAAAGTGCAAACATTAATCATAAGCAACAAGAAATTATGGCGACTATTGAGAGAGATGGGATTTCGTTGGCAAAAGAATAGAAGAAAATCCGTTTTGATTGAAAAAGATTACATTGTATGTTGGAGACGAGATTATCTAAGAACTATTAAAAAGTACCGAGAAGAAGAGAAAGCAATTTTTTATTTGGCTGAGACTTGACTAAATGAAGGTCATACTGTACCATATCTATGGGTTGATTCAAATGTGAAAAGTTCCCGTCAGGCATTCATCGAAGGTGTATCTACTGGAATAAACAATATTCCAGTTGGAAAAGGGACGCAGACTCATAATAATCCATATTGGAAACGAATACGGTTTTGTCAATGGGGGATTATTAAGTTTTGCCTCAAAATCAACCAAAGATTACCATGAATTCTGTCATAGTCATGGATAATGCTAGTTACCATTCAAGACTAGCAGAAAAATTTCCAACAACGGCATGGAAAAAAGGAGAGATAATCGAATGGTTGGATAAACACGCAATTGAGTACAAGGAGAATTCGAGAAAAAAGGAATTATTACCTATTGTGAGGCAACATAAAGCAGCTTATAAAAAATATATAATTGATCAAATGGCATTAAACCGTGATGTAATTATTTTACGTTTACCCCCATACCACTGTGTTCTGAATCCGATTATATGGTCTCAAGTAAAGGGTGAAGTAGGACGCAACAACAAAACTTTTAAATTAGAAGACTTACAACAATTATTAGAACATTCCTTATCAAAAGTAACTCCAGAAAATTGGAAAAATGCTGCTAGTCATGCTCACAACGAAGAAAATAAAATGTGGAATTTGGATAATATGACTGATGCAATGCTGGAACCGGTAATAATTAACATTGGAGTTGAAGATTCCTTAGATTCTGAAGAAAGCAGTGAATCTGGAATGGGATTTGATTAAAATAATATTCATTTTTTTACAAATCGGCCCCTGTTACGGCCACAAATTATTTTATATATAACCAATAAAATAAATTACTATTTAACTGGGAATAAGCCTCAATTAAAGATAAAAAAATACGTTTATTGACGTTTCAATTTCCACTTCGGAAAGTGGAAATTGAAGACGAATATAATTTTGATAATTAATAAGACAATTAAAAACAAAATATAAATATTAAATTTGTCTTTATACCATTATTATAAAAATATATATACTTATTTAGAAAAGATACTTTATTTAAGTTTGCTTTGCGGACAGCAGGACGTCCCGCGGGACACGGGAAGGGACATATAAAAAAAGTGCGGGATGTTTTTGCTTGTAAAGTTAATAATCTTGGAGAGTTACTTTCATGAAATGTTTATGCAATTTTCAACATTTCTTTGTGCAATGGTGGTTTGTTATTAAAATTATTTACAAATCATAATTTTCATAGTCATTAGTTGATACAGTGTGTTCTATGATGACTCGCATCTTAGTCAGTTTTAAAATTGTAAGTTGTCATAACTTCTTATTAATAAAATATATGATAATGAAATTTTCGTTTTAGCTGTTTGACCACTTTCAATCCAGTGGGGTAGGAATGTTTGAAGTGAATACTTCTTATGGCTCGGTATGATGTTTTAAATAATATTTAGCGTGACCCGAAATATCGAGACGTGTGCAGTAACCTTGCGATATACAGAAATATACATATAGCATTTTTCATATAAAAAAGCTTGCACGTCATTCAAGATTTACGTCGTCAGAACCCCACAGTGTTGCCAAAACATCATTAGTAAGTGAGGATTTTTTAAAATGTCAACTATTTGTCAAACTATTATATTAACAGTAAATACACTTAAATAGACTACTGCAACACATTAAAATACATAAGAAAACATTTTAATACAAAATTATATATTCTAAATTTTAAACTTACTTTTTTAGCGCTTTAATAGTAAAAACGTCTTGCCATTATTTCTTGTTCAAAATAATCTATACTTCATCTAATTTACATACCGATGCACGTCATTAAGTTATTAATCTAAATTTTATATGTACTTGTACATATAATTTATTAATATATATTATATTATGATCAAATTGTGTAAGAAATCAAAACATAAACAAAATTCCTACTCTAAAAAAGCGGCAACACTTTATACACTTTTGCCACACGCTCATCTGTCAATAAAATTTCCGTATTGTATTGTATAAAAGTATTTCCGTATCAGTTGCGTACGAGTTATTTCATAAAGTTTATATTATTAATAATAACAAATGTTTTTGGTTATTTAATCAATATAATTCTAAAATTTCCAATATAATGATGATTACATTTTTCTGATTATTACACCATGTTGACGCCTATAAAAGATCAAGCAGTTCCGTATGGGTTTCATATTATTGGCTATGTTAGGAAAATTTAAACTCTAAGGTTGATGTTCTGGAAATTTTAAATACAACTGACGTCACTTTGTATAAATCGTGACGTGCAAGTGTTTTACTTTGAAAAATGGTATACCTATATACATTTATTATAAAAATAAAATGGCGTTTAACAAATTTTAATTTTAAGGCAATTTTTATAATTTGTTTAAAAATTGTTATACTAATGTTTAGAAAGATATAAAACCGGGTTTATTTGAGATTATTTATTTCCAAAACAATACATAAACCAATATACATGCATCTATATTCTTTGCCAATACTAAAATTTAAAAAATTGTTTCAACAAATTAGATGGTTTATTTAACAATTTATTTATTTAAATAATACATATTCGTAATGTACGCAAAAAGAATATACAAATTCAAAAAAGAAACGTCAAAATCCATAAACAAGAACCACAGATACAGTTTCTTCCCCCTCCGCCACTTCCGCGAATTTCAAAACCGGCCAATTTTGAGGACCACGTTTTGAAACTTTGTTAAATTTTAATAGTTAAAAAGTTATTCTAATTGTTTACTAAATATCTTTATGTTTTGCAAAATAATTTTGCAATATTTAAATTTATTTTCCTTTATTTTTTTTTTAATAATAATGTTAATAGAATAATCCTTCTTCTTTCATAAGCTATCCGTAGAATTACTTAACTTCATAATTTTCTGACTTTTGTTGCAGAAAAATTGAATTTGGCAAAAACAAATAAAATAGTTTTTAAACAATTTGACCGATCGCTTTGAAATTTTGATTATATTTTAATCACCACAAGACCCAACATTCCGTGCAATTGAAGGTTTCAAGTTATATTTTTAACAAAGTTATTAACTTATAAAAAATCAAAATTTCTATTACTTTTTTTTCTGTTGTGGTACTTTTTTTGCTTATTTCCCTGGTTAGCCGTTTCAACTATTTAACCTTATTGCAGCGGTTCATTACATTTTTTTTTTTTTTTTTCGAGAACTGCAAAAGTAAATATTAATTGCAAAAGATAATACGTATTATTATTTTATTATTTTCTAAATAATATGAATTTTTTTATAATTAATCACATTATTTACGTGTATATTTTTTAATATAATCTATTATCCTTTCAAAATATGATAACGCATGGACCAGCTGGCACACACATAACCTAATTACCTACTCATGCCGGCTTATCTTTGAATTATAAATATGTGTGTTTATTTATAATATCTAAAAGGATATTTATTAGAGTTGACCTAAATTCTATTTAAGTTCCAATATTACCAATATACCAATATTATAAAATAAAGAAATTGTTTTAAAATGTCCTCATACATTCAAAAATAAAAAATGCATGATGCAATAAACAAAAAAGTTTTCAGATTTATCGGCTTTCTTAAAATACACGAAGTGAGTTAATTATATGCGTAAATATGTATTTCATTTTAAAACGTGGATGAAAATATGATAACCGTATCACATAATTATTTTTAAAATAGACGTATTTCCCAGTAAAACAATATGTGTGCATTTTGAAAATTCAAATTTTAAATATTTGAATGTTTTGACTATAAACATGAAAGTAACTAGTATTTACTTACCTAACTCGGTGTAACATAGTGCCCCGATCATTGACAAAGCTCCCGAAAGTATCCAAACTATTATAGCTAATCCAATAGAACCAGAAACTTTTAAAACACCCTTAGGAGAAACAAAAATTCCGGAACCAATAATAACCCCAACAATAATTGCCACCCCGTCCATAAGAGATAATTCCTTTTTCATTTGTATCCCTGATGAATCATCGTCGGGATTTTCTTTTTCTTTCGTAGAAGTCATTTTCAGATCTTTTTCCATTTTAAAATAAATTAAAACACAGTCCACAAGCACTACAACTTCACCACGTGTTTTAGCGCGCTGTCAACATACCCATACCCTACCTTTACCGTTTCAAAACCGAAATAAACGAAAGGTCGAACATCCGAATCGCATAATCAAAGCCGATGGAGAAACATGATAATAGACCCCCTTCTTTTCTTTCAATACTGTCTATAACACCCGTAGAAACTGCAGTCAAACTAAATATGTTGACCGGTTTTAGTGTATAATATTGTATACAATTGTTTTCAATCTTTTCTACTGGAACTCGCGCTTAGAACTTCCTATGGTCTATGGTTTGTTTGAGTTCGGTTGCATCCTGTGCAAAATTGCCCTAATGATTACATTACTTGAGAGTCAGCGGCGTAACTAACTGTGGGCAGAAAGTAAGTTAAAACATTTAATGTACCACCCATTTTACTTATCAGTGCTTGAAGAAAAATTGAAAGCGGAAATAAAAAATGCTTAATTTGCAGAATATGGTCGGTAATAATCATTATTTATAAAAGCGCACCATAGCTACACTACATCGCATTTTTAGTAATTGATTAAATGTACAATCAGCTAACAGAAAGAAAAAAATAATTTTAGTTATAGGTTTATACATAGAAGATGACAGACAAAATTACGGAATGGGAAAAACATTGAATAAGTAATATTTTTTCTTGATACAATGGTGACTAAAGAAATAATAAAAGACACTCACTATTATCAGTAGCGTAGAGAAAAACAGACGGCATTGTTTATGATCCCGTTTGGAGTTAGCTAGTCCTATATCGGTCGGTTTTCCCGTTGGCTGATATGGGAATGCCTTCCATTTGTGAATAGTACTGCAGTTTTTTTAGTGTGATTTGATAATGATAAATGTTTAACTAAAAAGTAGATTTTATACTAGTCATCAAATTAATGGTTATCAGACCTCATCAAATTAATGGTTATCAGAAGGCCTGCTGTATAAAATTAACCAATATGGTTATAGTGAGGCGATGACATGTCTTATCTCGTTATACCTAGCTGACAGAAGATTCTGTTGGGCCATGGAATCAGGTGTGCCACAAGGAGGTTATCGCCATATCTATATACCATATATACAGCAGACACACCAACCGAACCCAGATCGATGCAGACGATACAGCGAAAGCATCATGTACCAAAAAAGAAGAGGCAGGCTGAATGGAGTCCTATCCCTATTCGACACACAAATCTAATGGTTAAATCAAGCCAAATATTTAAGCGTAATGTTGAATAAAAGCTGACTTTCGCAGAACACGTGAAACAAACAATCAACCAAACTAAAACACAGAGAAGTCAACTCTCGTCACTAATAGGTCGGAAGAGTAAACTGAGATGCAAAGCAACGATTAGGACAACAAATTGTACAATACTGCCAACACTAACATACGCCTCAACCACATGGGGCACACGTGTAAATCCCACAGAAAGAAAATACAAATAATCCAGAACTATATATGATCAGAGAGGTTTTGAATAAACCTAAGTACGTTCCATTAATCTACGTATTTAGGGATTCAGAACAAAAGCGAATCCTGAGAACTATGGATGAAAAAGCACACGTGATTTTTAACGATCTCAGAAACCATGCGAGTATACTACTAAAAGAGTTGACAGACTGGACAGTACATAGGCGGCCTAGATAGCAGTTGGTTGGATACAGAGAAGACCCAAAAGAACAGTGAAGAAATTACATAGCCACGCCATAGCCGCAGTAACAGAAGCCTCAAAAAAACCTATATTTATATTTTATTTCTTTTATTTAGTTATTTTTATTGTACTAACCAGTTACACTATATAAAAAGAAAAAAACAAAAATCATAAAATATATACCCGGGGTATGGGAAGGCCGTATACACCTAGGAACCCACACCCCACCTATTATTAATCTCTTCTTCTTCTTCTAGTGCCGTCTCCACTAATGAAGGTTGGCTATAACCATTGCAAATTAGTCTATATCTTCTGCTTTTCTTAAGAGCGTCTGTGGATTTAACCCGGTCTAGTCGCGAATGGTTTTCAGCCAGGATTTTTGTCGTCTACCAGGACCCCTTTTTCCTTCGATTTGACCCTTCATAATCAGCTGCAACAACTCGTACTTATCATTTCTAAGTATGTGCCCCAAATATGCTGTCTTTCGCCTTTTAGTGGTTTTCAAAAGTTCTCTGTATCTTCCTATTATGTGCAACACCATTTCGTTCGTAATATAATCGGTCCATTTTACCTACCTAAAAAGCCACATCTCAAAAGCTTCCAGTTTTCTCATTAAGTCAACATTAACAGTTCAGGCTTCGACACCATAAAGAAGAATAGAGTGAATATAACAATTTACCATCCGATATCGGATTTGCAGATTGAGTCTTTAGTTACTCAGAAATTTCCTCATCTTCAAAAAGGCTGCTCTTGGTTGCTCTATTCTTGAGCGAATTTCTGATTTTGGATTCAGATCTTCCGTAATCCAGACTTCTAAGTATCATTTTGTCCACTTGCACAATATCTTCATTTTTTATCTGGATCCTTGTAATGACTTTACCCCTCTTACCAGCCATGGTTTTTGTTTACTTTATGTTTATTGTTAAACCAAACTGTTCCCTAGTGTCACAAACTGTGTTTAGTAACATCTGCAGGTCTGTCTCACTTTTAGCGATAATGACTGTATCATCAGCATAACGGATTTTATTAATATTTTCATCATTTATCTTGATCCCTTCTATACAGTTTTCATGTGGTTGCGTAAATAACTCTTCGGAATAATATATTAAATAGTAATGGTGAAAGTACACAGCCCTGTCTCACTCCTCTACTTATCTGTTGGGCATCCCTGCTATTTCCATCTCATGTTACCAGAGCCTGTTAGTTCCAATATAGATTTCTGACTATGTTAATGTTATTTTTGTCGAGTCCTTTTCTCTTTATACAGTCTATGAGAATGTTATGTGTAACTTTGTCGAAAGCTTTCTCATAGTCTATAAACCCAACGAAAATATCTTTTTGTTGGTGTCGACATTTTTGGGCAAGAGCTGTGAAACCATACAGAGCTTCCACTGTTCCGAAGCCGTTAAGAAAGCCATAGAAACTGTCTATTACTCATATCCGCTTCGCACTTTCTGAATATTATTGCATGCATAATCTTTAAAAATGTTTTAATAAGTGTGACATTAAGCTGATTAATCTATAGTGATTACAGTGTTTGGAGTTCTTGGTTTTGGGTAGCGGAACAAAGGTCGATAGCAGCCATTCTGTAGGTATCTCACCAGATTTGTATATGTTGTTAAAGAGTATAGTTAGTGCACTTAAATTGTCTTCATCTATAAGTTTAATCAGCCCGATATGAACTTCTCTGGCCCAGGGGTTTTGTAAGAGTTATTTTTAGCATGTTGGACTTCAGATTTTAATATCATTGGAGCTCCTCGTTATCAATTTGTGTTGGTTCCGTTATTGTGTCCATGAAAAGATCTTTAATATATTTAGTCCATACTTGTTTTGTTTCAATTGGGTTATTAATAGGTTTATTGTTTTTGTCAATTAATCGGTTGGCTGTATTCGTTCGTGATTTTTGAGATAATTCTTTTACTTTTTTATATAAATTATAATGATCATGCTTTTTCCGCAATTCTTCCACTTCGATGCATGTTTCCATCATCCACTTATTCTTAGCCTCTTTTATTTTATTCCTTATTAATTTATGTTTTTCTCTGTACTTATTTGGGTTTTTGTTTCTATATTTTCTTCTTGGTTCCATGATTTCCAGTGAGTCAGATAAGGTTCTAGGCTTTCTGTTTTCTTTTGTAGAGTTCCTTTCTGTGTTTTTATGACAGAATCTTTGATTTTGCCCCACATAATGTTCACATTCTCAGTGTTTTTCATTTCTGATGTTAATTTCTTACTAATTATTACTATTACTATTACTCTCTATCTAATATTATTTTCTCTTAACCCTGTACTAATAACCTTCTCTTACATGATACAAAGAAAAGAAATGATACAAAGAAAAGAAAAGATATGATCTTGCGCATGAGGGCGGAGTTGTCGTTTATAGTGTGACGTAATGTGGAGAGGTAAAGCATAATCTCAACCTCTAGTATTTGTATTGTTGTAAAGTGTAGAATTATCATTTAATTTTTCTAAGCGAAATATACTCTTTTCGTTATTTAAAGATGAAGTGTTGAATAGCTCTGTGTAATAGCGACAATCAAAGTAATGTGGTTCAGAAAGATATTATGTTTTTTCGGTTCCCAAACGATCCAAAGATTGTAAAAATTTGGGTACATTTTGAGACATGTAAACGAAAGGACTATTTTATTTCTAAAAATGGAAGGATTTGCTCAAAACATTTTAGTGCAGATAGTTTCAATAGATATTTAAAATCTGAACTTATGGGAGTGTCTTTTAAAAATCACTGTCTTTTAAAAGAAGATGCAGAGCCTACATTATATTTACCTTTTGCGAAACCAGTGGAAAGCAAGAAAGATAGATAGATGTATTAAAAAATATAATATTATTTATACAAATTAATGATAATTAATTGTCTTGTGTAAAAACAAAAAAATAGTTAAGAGTCACATTTGATGAACAGTTGCGTTTTGTACAACATATAAATGATGTAACAGTTAATTCAATAAACACTTTAGGCTTTATCATTCGCAACTGTCTGAGACTATCTGTTTGGGCTTTAATAATAATTTATTATGCTTTAGTCGCATCTAAAGTGGAATATGCGTCTACTGTATGGTCTCCACAATACCAAGTCCATTCTACTACATTGGAGAGATTGCAGAACAAATTTGTCATATATTGTGCATATAAATTAAACATACACATTATTAATCATAATTATACAGATATTTTAAAACAACTCAAAAACACATGAATTTATTAAAAACCTGATGAGATAACTCTGACTTAGTATTTGTGCTTAAATTAATAAATGTTTTAATTTGTTGTCACTGAACTTCTCCAATCTATTAGTTTATATGTTCCCTCCAGAAATCTCAAACATGTTGATCTGTTTTATATGCATTTTCACCGTACAAATAATGGTATGCATTTGGAAATATTTGATGTCTCCTTGGCTTCATT